AGGAGGAGGAGGTGAAACCAAGTGGTGCGAGAAGTGTAAAAAGAAGCACTTGGGGAAATGTAGCGAGGAGGTGACTTGCTACAAATGTGGAAAGACAGGGCATTACGCCAGCAAGTGTGCGTCCAACAAGAAGGTTTGTTATGGTGTGACAAGGAAGGGCATATTTCTAGGGATTCCCCGGGGAAAAATAAAGCAGCAAGACCAGAAACGCCACCGAGACCACGGGCATTCCACATGATCCTCGACGAAGCAGAAAACCGTGCGAGGAATCAAGGATGAGGACTTCATATACGAAGATCGAGTTATGCAGTAGTCATAGTATCGTATGATGTAGCCTATTAGAGCCATAGTCTAGGGTGAACTTGAACACCTATGTAATAGTTTCAAGAAATAATAAAACCTTCGTTTTGTTATCTGATGTGTTAAACTGTTATGTGATTTTCTTGTATGGTGACTTGGGGACTACAAGGAAATACTTGGGACAAGTATGAGTAGGTGTGAAAGGTAGTAGATGCATATACTACCGGAAGTACAGGACTCACGCTTGGATTAGGGAAAGTCACAAGGTTACCAAGAAGCTAGTAATTGATTTCGTTTTATTCAAGTATGTCGTTACCATTGTTTTGGTAATGACCAAGAAGATTGTTGATATTCCGACCCAAGTGGTCATATCGAATTGAGTCCGACTACGATAAGTATGTTACAGAGAACCAAGTTTGATGTAGCACCAACTTAAGCCATAAGAATTAATCAAAGCGATCAGTAAAAGTATCGTGACGGTTGCTAGAAATGCTACCTTTTAAGATGTGATTAGAACATGAAGGAAGGTATAGTCTGTTCTAGAATTTAACTCTAAACGACCTGAGTCCAAGCAATGAATCACACGATGATAGGTCATTAGAATATGACACATCGTTCCGTTGTAGTAATGAAAGAACTTCTCTTAAGTTCGTATCAACTGAGCATTGACGTTGTGACTTGAAGGTCATAATTTGGAGTCTAATGTGAGATATAGGGCGGATGCAGGATCGAGCACCGCCTGTAGTCAAGGAGTCTAAGAGTTAGATACGCGTTCGAAGAAACATTAAAGTTATGAATTAGGATGAAAAGATAACGAATGGAGTCATCATGTGAGCCCTGTTTCGTTGATGATTATGGGACGTAATCATCCTAAGGGGAAGATAATTGTAACGTCCGTAGATCCGGGCTAGTGAATTTAGAGGCAATAGGGGTCGAAAACGAATTTTTGACAAAAGATTATTTAGAATAAATAATCTTAACCAAGTTGTAGAATATGTCTCAAGGTTTCCGTACATATAAAGAACACCGAAATCCGAGTTATAACGAAGAAGTTATGACCCGTTGAAGTTTCGAGACGGAACCGGTACGATACCGGGAAGCGTAAATAGTGAATTTACGATAGACCGAGATTAAGCCTTAGCGATCTAAACGAAATTCGTATAATATGTTAAACTAAGAACATCGATAAAAAGAACGTCCAAATCTGACTTCGTATGAAGAAGTTATGATTTTTCGAAGTTTCAGATTAGCAGTGTACAGCCCGAAATTCGAATATTAGATCGAGTGGTTTTCAGCCGACATGACCTAAATGAGAATCGAAGATCTCGTTAAGAGTAGCGTAATGAGAAAAATATGGGTGACAACGGACGTCGGATGAAGAAGTTATGAGGATTTAACAGACCAATCCTATCCCGGTGTGTTAAAAATACAAAATTTCAAATCGAATGTAAATTAGCCGATGAAGTCTAAAAGAAAGTTGTAGAGTACGTTCCCACCTTCGCGTGGATATAAAGAACGTCGAAAACGGAGCTTGTGTGCGAAAGATATGATTTTTAGAAGTCGGAGCGTAAAATTTCGAAATCTACGAGAGGTTGATGATGTGGCCGCATCTGAGCCGTTGCTTGCTGACCAAGGCTTCGCTTCGGATCATGCCACGTCAACTCGCATCTACGCCCCGCGTCCGAGGCTGGGTACGCCCAACGTACTTCGGTTCTTATCCCTTCTAAATGCGAGACAGCTGGAGGCTCGCTGGCACCCTTATCCGAGCATTATGTCCAGCGTAGCCAAGGACTATGCCCAGCATAATGCGAGGCCTCGCTAGGTATAAAAGGGGGGCGAGGGTCACCAACTTTTTCACACATTTTCTCATTCTCTCTCTCTCTCTAATAACTTTCTCTCTCTATCTCCTTTTGAGTCCCCTAAAGTCTAGGTGATCCTTTAGCACCCGAGGGAAGCCCCGAGGCTCCCCGAGTCCCGAGAAAAAGGGTCTTTCGGTTTCGAAATGCTTCTTGAAATAAAGTTCTGGTTTTCAATAAAATTCGATGTAAGTCAGCTACGCTTACACAATTTTTCATATAGCTTTCGAATAATTATAGGAATGTTATTAGGTCCTTAAAATAATTATTTGGGCTATTATTATGAGTTACATTGAGTGTTATTAACGCTTATATAATAATAATAATAGTCAGACTAACTAATTTGTTTCAGTTATCATTAGACTAAACCCTAGTGGTATTGGTACTAGGTGTTATCAAAGGAAATTGTTTTGAGAGTATCGAAGCGCTTTCCGAGTGCTAAGTCACCACCTTTCAGGTGAGTGCATAGTTACTTTCATCTTACACATAGATATGAAGTATTTTATATAAAGTACGTGCTATGTGTGCCCATTATCTGAGTACTTGTGGTCTATGCTAAATGAACGATTTTATACATGTTTTAACTGATTTAAACTGTATATGTATTTTATATCTACGATAATGTTGCAGTAAACATGGGTAGATATAATAGATGCAATATGAGTTGAATGATGAGTTGAGAGGTGTTATAGAACACGAGGTGAGGGTGAGAGGTGGATCATGTGAGAAGCCTTTTTCCCAAATGATGGCCCCGTGATTTAGCAGAGTATGGATGACAACCATAGACTATTCTAGACAGTCCAGTGGAACACTAGCAGGCTCGCAACCTGTAGGTGTTGTGAACAATGTGTTCACCCGGTGTACTCTAAACCCTGGTGATCATACAGGCTTGATGCCTAAACCTTGTTGATCATGCAAACTTGATGCCTAAACCCCGACGACTATGCAGACTTAGTGCCCATTGTAAACCGTGGCAACGATGGACCTTGTACCAATTCCTTAGGATGATCCTTAGGAATGAATGAACGAGGAATAGCTGATTCTTAGGGTAGATCATTAATATTAAAGAAGATAATACAGATGGGTAATTGGGTTGATTGTTTGATTGTTTAAACATAATAATTATATTATTGTGGGTTGAAAACCCTATGTACTCACCAGGTTTCCCAACCTAACCCACTCAGTTTATTTATATGACAGGTGTTGATATGAAGTCACATTACACTGAGAGATTTAAAGAGATGTAGATCACTAGAATAAATAAATGTATGTTCTGTTTATGCTTATGTTTCTGTATTAATGATGACATCCCAAACGTTTTGAAATGAATAAAATACATTTGTTCGAAAATGTTTTAATAACGTATTTATCGTATTTTTCTGGGAAAAAATTCCGCAACATTTTTATTAAAAGAAGTACTATGATTTTTATAAAGCATAAACAAAATCGGTCTTTTCTGGCCGTGAAAATGCGGATGTCACATATTCGCCTTAGAGGTGTTTGTCTTTACAGCCTTTTGTAGACTTGTCATAAAATTCTGAGCATTAGAGACTTGCTTTTAAACTTTTTCAAGCACCCCTTTGCACATTGCAGTCGAATCACAAAGCTCTTGATTCGCTTTATCCAGATTGGTCTGATGTTCTTTTTTCATTGACTAGAAAAAGGCCTCAATCGCTGCCTTAGAATAAGCCTCACTTAAAGATGGTTGAGAAGAACTAATCAGTGAATCTAGCTTCTTAGTAATAACTTTGAACTGCCTTTGAGTAACAGGGGAATTATCATCACTGTCCTCCTATACTATGAATGGACTGAATTGAAAAGATCTAAAATCGAACCCATCTCCATCCAAAATGGTATATGAGTTATCTTGCCTCAGAGGAGAAATTGGTGGTGTTGAATGACCAGCATTTAAACATGAAGCTCCTACACCCGCATCAAATGCGTTGATAGTAACAGGAGGTTTAGTTTATGTTTTTGGTGAGGTAGTGGATTTAGAAAATAAGGGAGTAGAGAGAGGAATACTGCCTTGTAAGTCGGAAGAGACTGGTGGAGGACAGGGTGTGATAGTTATGGGTATGGTGCTGGTTTTGGGTGAATGATGTGGAGATTGGAAGAAATCATTATAAGTTGGAGTTACCTATGGGTTTCATGATATTGCAGTTGAAACCTCTGGTTTGGAAGTTGTTGTAGTATCTTCGTGTTATGTAGGATTGTCCTCTTCAATGTGAACATCTGACTGCGACTGTTCAATTTAACTAGGAGTGGGAGAGATGGTCCTGCAAGTAAATTTCTTTACCTTTGCTTCTTGGTGGGAGGAGGAACTGGTATAGAGGAGGCAACTTTTGTCTCTCGTTTCTAGGGCATTACAACAGCTGTTCAAGTACCTTCATTCACAATTTTCTTCTTTCCTCCTTTCTTAGGCTTATCAGCCTTAGCTAATATCACTCGCATCTCATTCGTCAAAGGATGAACCCCTAAGACTTGAAGTTTCTTGTAAGCCTCAAGAATTTTGTTTGCTACAGGTACATCACGGAACATTATCTTTGGAATCAATCCCACAAATAAGAATTTTGAGTTTTTAGCAAGAATGATCTTAGTAGTGTGAAAAGTTGAAATAGTAGCCACTAATGCATCCTGCATCACCAGAACATAGAGCTTCTCAATTTCTCTCTGAGTAATGACTGTCCAGAGGCGTGCACATGAGATTTCACTGTGAACGGTAGTAGAGTGAATGCTCTGCATAACTTGAGCATAGATAATAGACCTAAAATCGACATTGAGTCCTCTATAAACCCCATAGAGAATCGCCATAAAGAGCTTGCTTGCACAATCGGAGCCAGTGAATCAATCAGAGAAGGCCTTGAACAATAGGGTGAAGAGGCCATTCCGCTGTGGTGGTAAATTAGGTTTCCATAACATTAAGGCAACGTTTAGGGTTTCTTTGTACCACATTTGACAGAACATCTCCAATAGGGATGTGTTGGTGACTGAATCTAGATTAATCATGTCGTCGGTTTGAGGAAGACCTAAAAAAGAACATAATTGAGTTTTGGTGATTGAAGTTTGTCTGTTGTGGATTTCAAACGTGATCCTCTGTTCTTCCTTGATGTAACTTGCAAACGAATAAGCCTTGGACAAAAGAAACATCGAAACATTCTCTTTCTTTTTTAGAGCAGTAAGAAGAGGATAATACTTGAAAAATTCAACGATTGGAAGAAGATAGTTGTCGTATTTGAACATATCAAGATCTATCACTAGGTTTTGATTTCGCTTAATAGCAAGAAGGGATGATTGTGTTGTTTGATCGTGAGTAGATGGAGTTTCAGAGGATCCTGTAATTATTGACTTCATGAGAAAAAATGAATAGTAGATTGCTTTGATCACCAGAAATCTTTGAGAGAAATCCTTAGAGAGAGAGAGAGAGAGATGAGGAAAGATGAGGCGTGAAAATACTTTATACCATTTTTTGGTGAGAGAAATCCTTAGAGAGAGAGAGAGAGTATCGGTTACTGAAAAGGCGCCTGTAAAAGCGTGACTGAAAACTGTTATGTTAGAAGTGTGTGTCAGGTGGCGGGAAAGTAGGCATCCGTTCAAATCATCACGTGCCGAAATCAAATCTTATCCTTTTAAAATATCCGTTTCAAATTCCCGTTTCGCAGTCAATGCATTGTTAAGACTTTCGTGGCAAAACTGGAACTTTCGCATTCTGATTGACTTGTGAAACTGAGAGTACTCATAAAGCCATGAAACAAAATTTTGAAAATCACTTGGATCTTTGTGAAAGAGTGTGCCAAATATAATAAAATAAAGCAATAAATTCTAAGGGATTCTAGTGATGTCTAAAAAGACATGAAACTGTTGGATCCTGGGCATAAATCTCTTCCTTCATAGTCAAGAAAGACTAAGAAGTGTCTGAGTGGTTTCCCGTTGAAATACGATCAATTGTTTGATAAGAAACACTGAAAGGCATCTTTTGTTATAATTTAAAGGCATTTTCATCTTCAACCAAACTCCAAATCTTATAAGTATGAGGGTTGTATGAAGTACTTGCCTAGCCAGAGTAGTCATAATAACAAGTAGATTTGAATTTGTGTCAGTGACTTTGGAAAATGTAGAAATCTCAGAAAAAAAAATAAAACTGGATCTTATGGGAAGAAATTTCTTAGGACTAGAACAATTTATAAAGATCTCGCAAAAGAAAAAGAGATTTCTCGGTACAAACCATGAAAGTGGCTTTCATTAATTCCTTGGTGAAAAATCTTGAGCGTTTAATTGTTCACCGTCAATTCATTAAAGTGTGTTGGATTTTGGGTTTCACTCAGTTCATGATTGAATGAAACTAAGATCATTAACACATATGTTATGTAACCATAAACCTCAATGGTAGTTGTTGAGAGTCTCAAGGGTTACATTCATGAAAACGAAAGTGATGGAGAAATGTGAAGGTGGTTCCAGAGAAGAGAATGTACCTCTACTATGCAAAAGTGACCAAGCATATCAATCTTAACTCAAATTTAGAAGACTAAGGTAGCTCATGACTTACGTGAATTTAACAGCCTGATTCGGAAGAAACGATTGGTAGAATCGATTCATTAAGGTTTCAACATAGAGTCGTTGAGGCTTCAACCAACATACAACAACATGCTTCTAGGGACACTTAGCTAGTACATAGGTAAAATGATTTATACATGCCCCGTCATGTGAACCGAGAGTGACTACGAATGTGTTCCTTGAAGTGCTTCTCAGTTATCTGACATTTTTTCTATTTTATGTTTTTATGAAAATAAAAGAAATAAAATATCTATGGATTTTTTGTTTTTCTGAAAAAGAAATAAAAACAGAAGAAATACTTAAAAGGATATAGGAAAATCCAAACCATAAATGAATAGTTGACTGCAAATCACTGCGAGCGTTCGCACAAATTCGCAGTCTCAAAGTATAATGCGAATTACTGTAAGTGCTCGCTCTGATTCACAATCATAACATTAAGAATACGAAAGTGGTTTCGGAACTGATTCAGCTTCCATCATTCCTAGGGCTTGAATTATTCTATTAAAGGTCGTTTCAGGTAAGGCTTTCGTGAATATGTCAACTAACTGATCAGCGGACCATACAAAATGTATCTCAACATTGCCATCTTCCACATGATCCTTAATAAAATGATACTTCAGTGCTATATTTTTCGTCTTTGAGTGTTGCATTGGGTTGTGACAAATGCGAATTACACTTTCGGAGTCACAATATAGTGGGATTCATTTCATGTTTAGGCCATAGTCACAAAGTTGACTTTGCATCCATATGACCTGGGAAGTGCATGAGGCAGCAACAATATACTTAACTTTAGCTATTAACAAGGATACACTGGTTTGCATTTCTGATTGCCAACTGAAAAGTTTGCCATCAAGAAATTGGCATCCTCCAGTTGTACTCTTTCTATTCAACCCACATCCTCCAAGATCATCATCTAAAAATGCTTGTACAAAGAAGCCAGACTTCGACGAGTACCATATTCCAAGTGAAGATGTTAGTTTTAAATACCGAAATATGTTTTTGACAGTGATCATGTGTGTTTCTCAAGGATTCACTTGGAACCTAGCATAATAACAAATACAAAACATAATATCCGGTCGACTCATAGTTAAGTATATTAAAGAACCTATCATTTAATGGCAGAGTGTCGTGTCTACAACCAATTTGTCCAGAGATGGAGTTAGTTTTGTTCCGAATACAATTGGAACTTTCACCTTTGAGTCTCCTACCATCCCAAACATAGCGAGCAAGGTCTTCATATATGCCTCCTAATTTATAAAAATACCTTCCTGGTTCTGTCTTATGTTTAATCCAAGGAAAAAGTTAATTGCACCCATTGAACTCATCTCATATTTTGTTTCCATTAGCTTTCAGAACTCAGCTATGAAGATGGGATTAGTTGATCCGAAGATAATATCATCAACTTAAATTTGGACGATTATTAAGTGGTCACCCTCTTTCTTGCGAAAGAAGGTTGGGTCAACAGAACCAGGTTGAAATTCAGACATTTTTAAGAAATGGGTCAGAGTTTCGTACCAGGCTCTTGGAGCTTGCTTTATACCATAAACCGCTTTGTCTAGGATGTAATAATGATTAGAATACTTCTTGTTAGTTAAGCCAGGTGGTTGCTCTACATACACTGTCTCTTCAAGTTCCCCATTCAAGAATGCACATTTAACATCCATTTGAAATACTTTGCAGTTTTTGTGTGCTGCATATGCCAAGAAGATGCAAACAGATTCCAACCTTGCAATGGCTACAAAGGTCTCTTCGTAGTCTATGCCCTATTTCTGACAGTATCCCATGACAACAAGTCTCACTTTGTTTCTAATCATGTTCCCTTCTTTGTCCAACTTGTTGCGAAACACCCATTTAAGACCAACAACAGATGCATCAGGTGGAGTGGGAATTAATCTCTATACCCTGATCCTTTCAAACTCAGTGAGCTCATATTGCAATGCTTGCACCCAATCAAAGTGATCGAGAGCAACATTCACGATTTTGGGTTTAATTTTGGATATGAACAAATTAAACGTGCTAAATTCCATTTTAGAGAATAGTGTAGTCTGTTTCGCTTTTTGTTGAGATCTTGTAAGAACTCCTTCAGATGATTCAGCAATGACTTGTGTTTTACGATGATATTTGGTCCGTTCTGATAGTGGAGGGTAATTTGGACCATAGGATGGATCCAGTTTCTCACACCCCGAAAACCGAAGGCAGAAACATTTCTGGGGCGGACACCACATTGAGTATCAAATCCAATGTACATAGTAACATAGTAAACACAAAACCTTACGTTACATAGAATTGTTTACATCTGTTTGAAAGAAAAGTTATACAAGTGTTGTATACATATATCATATGAACAAAAACAAAGACGAGTCTTCTAACGATCCGTCTTCTCCAAAAGGTGGCGGTGTACCTGTCTAATGTTGACCTGAGAATACAAGCATTTTGAAAATCAGCATAAAGCTCGTGAGTTCATAAGCGGTTTTATTTTGAAAAGAATGAGATCCCTTTTTGTTTTCTGAAAAAGTTGTTATTCAAGAAAATCCCAGATTTTCTTATGTAAAAAAACAGTTTAGTTATCATTTCGTTACTTAATTCATTTATGAGTAGTTACCTTATTCCAGGAAAATCCCGTATTTTCCTAAGTGTTTAGCTGTCCTTTTGATACTTACTTAGTGGTTTAGAATTCGAAGTACTAGTAACTACCTTACTTATAGTATTAGTTAACTATTCGGATATCATAGTTATCCTACATTCGATTGTTGATTATCGGCTATACTTAGAGGTATTGTCAAATATTTGGATTCACTCAGAAGCATACATTAACAATATTTTCGAATTTCTGGTGATTTCCAAAAGAGTACCTTAAACGTATTTTCGAAGCTCTGTCGACAGTTGATGTCCAGAGGCGTACTGTCAAATTAATTTCGAAACTCTGGTGACACCCAAGGGGTACACTAGCTGTATTTTCAAAGTATTGGCATCATCCGAAGGTGTTATTTCGTATTCGTATTCGTATTCCTACTCCTGTTCCTACTCCTATTCGTATTCATATTCGTATTCGCATTGGTATTTGTATTCGTATTCGTTCTATCCTATTAGTTATATTCGTATTCATATTAGTATTCGTTCTAACCTATTAGTTATATTCGTATTCGTATTCATATTCTTATTCGTTCTATACTATTAGTTTTATTCGTATTCGTATTCGTACTATCCTATTAGTATTAATCTTAGTTTATGATTAGTATGATTCCTTATACAAAACATAATATGAAACTTAGATTATAACATCTATTAAAGGAATCCACATTTAGTTTGACAATTCACTCTGTAATTCGAACAAATGGTTAGTATGATTTTCGGTATTAAAAGTATTCAAAATATGAAACAATTGAACAGAAAATAATAAATTTAAGTACAAGATTTCCTTGTACTTTTGCTTGTATTCCCCCCAAGAAAACATTTGAAAAAGGGTAGGGTTATGAACTCACCGGTTGAGGAACACGTCGGTTTGGATCCTAAACGTCAGTTCTGGGTTTGCAAATGCACAAGATTCCTATGTATTATGACAAGATACACATTTGTATATAATTAGGACTTGAATTATTTATTAGTTAGGGATAAACACTTCTAATCGCGAAAACACTCCATTACAAGCGTTTGGAGGGACCCGGGTGGCATTTAAGGACACATAAGGTTTGGATATGGAGTTTACTCTTCAAGAGTAAACTTATACTAGAGTTTTTGGCCCTAATGACATATTCCCCATGAGTTTATAGTCGTAAACTCATGGTGGGGTGCTTTTGTTT